TTCCTTTTGTGTAGTTTTAAGATCAGCATATTTAAAGTCATGTAACATCAGTAAAAAGGTGTCATCCTGTAAATCACTGGTTGTCCTACTAGCTGTGTCTGTCAGAACACTTTAATGGGCCAAAGTCATTAACTGGAGGAAGAAGCTTAGTAAATCTTTCCACTCTAATTCAAATTCTTTTGAACTTCACATCTCTCAAATGGAGATGGCAAAGGGCTTATGCTAAAGAAAAAAAATAGCCTTCTTTCCTTTACACTTGATTTCTGTTTTTCAAAGTTCATAGTAAAAGTTCCATTATGCCCACGAGCCAATTAGTTCTTTGTGCAAAGTAATAAGGTATTTAGGTGTAAATGGCACTTCCTGTCTAACTGTTTCAAAAGAAAAAATGATAAAATAGGCCACCTTTTCCCAAGAGGAGAGTATGTGGAGGCAACTCCTAGTGATTTGACTTCTTCAGTACAAGAATCACTAATATGTGGAACAGGCTGACAGCGGTAGAGGGGAGGAGGAAGGAGGAAATGGTGGAAGGAAGGGGAAGAGATTAGACTCCTGGACATGGACAATGGAAAGGAAATTGGCTGCAGGCAAGAGGGCTGGAGAGAGGTGGAGGGGGCAAAAGGGAAAAAATATTAGGACAACTGTGATAAAATAAATAATAAAAAATAAAGTATAAAAAAAGAATCACTAATACAAAGTGGAACAAGTTATAAATACAAATTAAAATAGTGCTTCAATTCAACTTCTCTATTGTTTACTCTTATTACCCTCAAAGCTTTATCCTCATTAATGACGTAGTGAGACAAATTATTGTTTCTGGAAACGTCCAGGCTTTTTTCAGTACAGTAAAAAGTTGGTTCAACTGTCATTTTCAATTTTCTGGCATGAAAATATACCTTATTAGAGAATCACCAATACTTATAACATTTAGAAACTGTAAGATCTTGAAATTCTTTCTAAATGGCCAAAAATAATGTTAAGTTACGATGAACAGAATCTCTATGCTGAAGTTATATATTTCCCCAAACTTTCTGTTATGAGAATCTTCATATATATGAAAATGTTAAAATACCATCATGGACACCAGTATATGGTCCTAAATTCAATTAATTGTTGGGTTTTGCCCTGTTTTCATTCTCTCTTTATCTCCCTCCATGTGTGCCCTTTCTGCCTCTGTCCCAGTCTCTTTCTTTGTTGCACGCACACACACACTCCCTCTCTCTCTCTTCTAATTTATGTATTTTTAATGTATTCTAATTCTCTGAATTATAGTTTTCTCTCTAAAGAATGTAGTATTGCCCTAACCAGGATGGCTCAGTTGGTTGGATGTCGTTTCACAAAGCGAAAGTTCACCAGTTTAATTCCTGGCCAGGGCACTTGCCTGGGTTGCAGGTTCAGTCCCAGGTCGGGGTGCGTAGGAGTGGCAGCCCATTGGTATTTTCTCACATCTATGTTTCTCTCTCTCTAGCTCCCTTCTTCCCCCCTCTCTAAAAATAAATAAATAAAATCTTTAAAAAATAAAGTATGTGGTATTATATCCATTTATAAAATATATGGTAATAAAAATATTTGTACTGTAACTATATGTTAACTTCCCACAGGGATATTTTATTAGCTAAAATACCCAACTGTCTGAACATGACAATTCATGTTCATTATTAGTATTAACTCTGTGATGTACCTGCCCAACAATGGACTATGGATTTTACCTTAAGTGCTGGTGCTTTAGTCTGTCTCCCTATGGACGAGTTAGAGTGTTTGTCTATCACTCAGGCAGAGAAATTCCTAATGGATTCTCAATGATGATCAGGGTGATTGATGGGGCAATAAGTCTCTTAATGTCCATGTAAATGGCATCCTTCCTAAAATATTAAACTATGACAAGAGTACTTAACACTACTATAAAATGAAATTTGGGTTAATTGCCCTGAAAAAGTATTTAAATAAATCCTGGGGAAGAGGATTATTTTTATCAAATAATTAACTGTAAAAGAGATAGGAAACCTTTATTAGAATTGTTATAGATAGTATTATGGGTGGAATTTTGTTCCCCCAGAAAAAATTCATTGAACTCCTAGTCCCCAGGACTTCAGAATGTGACCTTATTTTGAAATTGAGCTGTTGTAGATACAGGTAGTCAATTCAAGATGCGGTCACCCTGGAGTAGGTTTGGGCCCTTCATCTAATAGGACTGGTATCCTTACAAGAAGAAGGAAATGTGCACAGACATGCACAGAGAAAAAGTGACATGTAGACATGCAGGGAGAAGATGGGCATGTGACAAGGGAGGCAGCAAATGAAGTGATGCATCCACAACAAGGAACACCAAGCAATTGCTGGCTGTCACCAGAAGCAAGGAGAGAGGCATGAAACAGACTCTCCCTTAGAGCCCTTGCAAGAAATCACCCGTGCTGACACCTTGATTTCAGACTTCTAGCCTTCAGAACTATAGGAGGTATGATAAAGTTCTGTTGTTTTAAGCTGGTTTGTGGTAGTTTATTATGGCAGCTCTAAGACACTCTCATAGATGGAGATAGATAGATACATAGATAGATACATAGATGATAGATTAGCCATCTTTCAGACCTGGTAGGTTTAGGTTAAGTCATAAAATGAGGACCTAACAAATGATCCTGTGAAATATTATAGTGATCCCAAAGTTTTTAAATTGAACAATATGTATCTATTATAGTGAGCTACAAAAATTGCCATTTTGTTGGGAAAAAAATGACTTAATAAAGGTAATTTTATGCAGCTCAATATAACAGATTACACAAATAATTCAAGTTTTCTGAAATGTCCTTTTCTACTCAAGAGCAGATTCTAGGCTGCATTCATTGGGAAGATTGTTTTCCCAGCATCACTTTCCTTCTATAAATAGATTCTTTAGCTTCATTCACTTCACTTAGATAAGGAAGTTTCTGTCTCCATGACCTACTTGGAATTAAACACTGGGGGCAATTGCTCTTTGAGGTTTTGCCTGCTTACTTCTCTCATTTATACATCTCTTTGCATGGTTTATTCTAGGAGATAATGCTGGGGATTCTATGTAATTCATGCTCAAAGCTGAGATTGCTCCAGGGGATTTTTCTCTCGTTCCATCTGGCACAATAGTTACTGCGTTTGACAACATCTGCCTTACAGCACTGCTCTGCAGCTCCATCTGACTCTTGGTTCCCATCCACGTTTTCATCCTGCCGGTCTTCTCAGGAAGATGTTTCCACAACAGAGGTGGAGGAGAGAATACAGTGAGGGCAAACCAGAGCTTTGTTTTCCAATGAGTGTGAGTCATGAAGCCACCAAATGTCTTCACCTATCTCTTACTCCAATTCACCCAAAGATTTTTGCCTTTAACCAGTACTTGCTAAGAAAGCCCTTTGTCTTTCAGGACTCTGAACATTCAAAAGTCAATTCTAAATGTTTCTTTTTCTATACATTCATGTATCTAGTCCTCTTTAAATTTTCCTCAAATATGAAAAGAAAAATAACCATTCACAAATTTTACTGACATTTTTTTTTAACCAGCAGGAAAGGATACAACCAAGCCTAAAAATGTCTCATGCGTGAGATTCCTGCTAAAGCATGCCAATTTAGCTCCATAATAAGTAGATGCAGGGTCCAGAAGAAGTAAGCCTGCTAGAGTGTGATTGGTAGCGTAATAATATGGGTGTAATAATTTATAGTTTTAATTTGAACATTTCACCTAAAACTTCATATGGTATACTTGAGTGTGATATTGTTATGTTACAGAATTACATGCTTAGGATTTTGTAATAAAAGGAACATGTTTGTGCTAAACCCTGTATTTAACAGATAATTCTATTTCATAAAATTTTTAATAATACTCAGTTCAAATAAGTTTTATGAGTATTGGAAGTGGCTTTAAGAGAAAATTCCAAACCTTACCAATCAAAAGATTACTCTACATTCTCAACTTAAATCATTGCCTACACTAAGCAGAAAATCCAGATTATAGAGTTGATTAGTAGCAATTGCTACTTAAATTATTACACACTTCAATTAAACTGTCATTGTTAGTTTGCTATGGCTTTAAATTCTACCATTGTTTCCCAACACTATTCTACTTCTACTTAATTGAATACCCTGAGCCATTATTCTCTTCTTCATGAAAGGAGGTTCTAAAATTCCCATGCCAGACAATGCATAAACAGCTGGTGATATTAAGTTGTCTTTAGAAGAAAAAAAAAGGCAATTGGCCTAAAGGAGGTATTATTTGACTTCAAAATTCATGATCCTTCTCAGCATCCTTTATAACTGGGTTTCCAGAGGTGTATATATTTCACATATTTGTTCACATACAATCTGAGAAAGGAAGAATGTGCAATAAAATAATATGTTGTCTTTCTGTGGTTTTACAAGGAGAAACCACCTAAGGACAGCAAATGCAGGTCGGGTATTAGGATGACAAGTGCGCTGTGGGGTACAGGAAGTATGACTTCCTGCTGGCACGTGTATTTTGTACTTTCACCTGCTGCATTCTCATTCATTGGAGATGAGCCTAAGGAACTGTTGCCTCTTCAGCTCTCCTACAAGTATAGAACAAAAAGAAGCCGCCCCTAAACAAAACTGTCCTTACTGTTCAAATATAAACTTCTTAGATGAGTCAGTTCAGTCCCAGAAACATTAGCATTTGTCCAGTTGTACTTTACGAAAGCAAACCCAACATTTGAGAATCTAGGCTAATAGGTATCTAAAATCATGCTAATACACAAAGCAGGGTTCGCCTGGCAGCTCTAAATGTTTTTTCCTCTCCACACGTCTACCCACAACCACATCCAATGTGAGATCTGGTTACTTTCAAAGTCATGTAGTTTCTACCAGACAACAAACAGCCCATCTGACTGCACTCTCATAATCGAGAGTCAAATGAGTTCATTGCACATAGCGGCTTTCTGACCCCTTTGTCCTCTGAATCAGAACTTCTGGCCTCTCCAGGTAACAGATCCCTTAAAGATGCTACTATATATAATGAAAAAACTTACTGTTTTCTTTAACACTTTGAGAGCATAAGGCTTCTGAGTCCCCTTCTGTTTGCATCTGTACACAATGGATGTAGCACCCCTTGAGGGGGAAAAAGACAAAAAGAATATGTTATGCTTTGGACATGAAATAAAGGGGAGAAATTAAAAATAAGTCTCTCTTTCAGTTACCCAAATAATTGACAAGTGAATATAGTTTGCTCAGAAAAATTCCAGGTTTCTCAATCAGCTGTCTTCCTTTGCTCCATCCCTGTGCAAGAGACAACGTACTTAAAGCCTGTTGTACTCAGTGGCTCTGGAATAAACCAGGCCCTAAGGTGAGCGTAGCTTGTGGAGCCCATCCACCCAACTGTGAATCCCTGAGCTTTCCTAAAAGGATGTGTCTGGGGTAAAACAAGGCACAGTGTCTTCAGTGAGAGGGTTTGAGTTTAGCATTCGGATATATGGATCAAGACAGTCTCTACTACTCAGCAAGAGAGCTGGGGACACTTGAGAATTTATGCCATTTAGTGCTCTGGCTTTCTCCCAGACCCAGTGTTAGTCCCATAGAGATTCTGACCCCTTCATCTTGGTGAATACTTCTACCACTTATTTCACATGCCTTAACAAAAAGAATTATGTAAAATATTCAGGAGAAAATATTATAAAAATAGTTAAAGATACATAGGGAAAAAGTAGATCTATTTCTCTAAAAAAGCTTGAAGGTGTACAGAATGGTTTTTACCTATAAAGGAGACTGGTAAAAAGGGACTCAATACTTAGCTTCATGTATGTGCGGAAGTTACCAAAAAGAGATTATTGGAAAGCAGGACGGTGTGGTTCTGATGCTTCCTTTCCACACATGTGGGTGCAAGAAGAAGACAGACAAACAGAGACTCACAGACCAACGGGCTTAACTTCAGATACATCTTAAAAGAAGATCAAAGTAAATCTGAGACTTTGAAGATTAAGCCAAAGGACTTCTTATGATATATTCAGTCCCGTATTTTTGATATTTTAAACACAAAAGAATAATGTAAGTCAAAATATTCCCAGATAGCCTACGCACAACACATCTTCAACACAGCTAGTAACTGATATTGTAAATGCTAATGGATTTTAACATTTCAACATATTTTTAAAAACTTTGGTAAGATAAAACATATATAAATATTCTAGAAATGGAATAAATGGAGGTAAATACATAATTCATCTTTGATAATTGCTCTAAAAGACAACTACCTAAAACCAAAATATTAACAATGCATTATGTGCATAGAATATGCAACAGTAAAATATATGACAACGATAGCATGAAGAATGGGGGAAAATAAGGGAAACACTGTTAAAGTCTTATACTATGTGGTAAGTATTATATTATTTAAAGGTAAGTTGATTGATTAGAGATGTATATTCTTTAACCTAAATAAGTAAAATTATTTTTTAAAAATAATAATAAATCAGCAAGGAGCTAAAATAGAAAATCAAAAATAAATGCAAAGTAGGGAAAAACAAATTAAAAATAAAACAGCTAATAATATATGGTGGGTTTCAATCCAATCATATTAATAAATATATTAAATGTAAACTCTATAAACACACCAATTAAAAATAGATAGTTAGACTGGATTGGAAAATCAAGAGCAAACTATATACCGAAACACATTTTAAATATAAAGGCATAAATAGTTTAAAAATGAAATCATAGGAAAGAGATACTATGCCAACCCTGATCAAAAGAAAGTAGAAATAGCTATATTAATATTAGGTTACCTAGACTTCAGAACAAGGACAAAGTGAGACTTTACTTATGAAAGGATCAATTCCCCAAAATGACATAACAAATATAATTGTGTATACATCTAACAATAGCACTTCAAAATACATGAAGCAAAAACTGATAGAAGTAAAAGGAGAAATGGACAAATCCATGAATATAGTTGGAGACTTCAAGACACCCTATTCACAACTGACTTTAAAAAAGTGGAAACATTTGCAGTGAGAATACAGAAGACATGACCAGCACTATCTACTAAATTAACCTAATTGACAATTTGAGAAAGCTCCACATAAAAACAGTGGAGTACATATTCTCCTTAAAGTTATAGGAATCACATACTTGATTTCCAGATTTACTATAAAGCTACAGCAATCAAGAGAGTGGTATGGGAGAAAAAATAAACATGGAAACAAAAGGAACAGAAAAAAGAATCCAGAAATCATCTTACACATATATGGCCAATTGGTTTCTGACAAAGGTAAAAAGGCAACTCTGTGGAGAAAGGATAGTCCTTCTACCTGTAAATAATGCCAGAACAACTAGATATATACCCATATGCAAAAAAAAAATACCCACTAAAATCTTTATATAACCTCATACAATGCAAAAACTGCTTAAAATGGATCATGAATATAAATGGAAAACCTAGAACTCCAAAACATATTGGCAATGATTTCTTATATACAAACCAAAACCAAAAGCACAGTGAATAAAAGAACAAATAAATTGAATTTCATTTAAATTAAGAATATTTATTCTTTGAAAGTCACAGACAAGGAGAAAATATATGCAAATCACATATGTCATAAAGGACTTGTATGTAGAATTATAAAAAAACCTGGGAGGACAATAATAAGGAAATGAACAATGCATTTATAAACTGGGCAAAAGATTTAAACATATACTTCACCAAAGAAAATATATGAATGGAAAATATGCACAAAGAAAGATGCTCCTTATCATTAGTTATGAGGGAAATGAAAATTAAAGCCTTACAAAATTAAAAATTGATCTTCCTGTTGACCTAGCAATCCCACTTCTGGGACTATATTTGTGTTGGGAACTGCCCTGCCTGGTTTCAGGAGCTGTAACCCCCATGGCTAAGGCTGAGTGAGAGACTTTTGGACCATAAGCCTCTAAGTGGACATAGCTTATCTCCCTGGCAGGGGCTCTGCTTCTGCTCCTTTTTCCATACCTGGCCCCCAATGCTTGATCAATTAGCCAATGATGGGTAAGATTCCCCAAGGTGGGAATGGCCTAAGACAGGCATGATCATGTGGGAGGCCCCCAAGAAAGGACTTGGGGGGCTACAGCAAACAGGGGTGATGGACTCTCGCCCCTTGGCTTTGACAAAGCCTGAGTCCTCATTCTGCCTGCGAGAAGTCTTCTATCTTTTGGCTGCCTTACTCCCCTGTCTGACTTAATCCTGAAACAATGACAGCGGGTGGTGCAGCCCTGTGCTAGAAAGGGCAGATTCCCCAGGTGATCAGGCCTGAGAACAAACACATAAACTCCTGTGAAACCTGCTTTGCTAAGAATGCTCTTAATTAAATGATAAAGTTCCGGGCAGGAAATGAGTTTGTTTCTCAGAGTTTTGTAGACCTTTAGCTAACAGACCCTGACTCAGAATAGGCCCTCAGACTTCTTTGTATGTTATCTATTGTTTGATCCTTACTGTCTGACAATGGTTAATGAATTTTACCTGTATTCCTGTGCAAATTAAAAGACAATAAAAATCCTGTGAAGGAAGGATTGAGGTGCTCTTCTTTGAGAGAGTGGCCAGGTCACTCCAAGGCACCCTCCCCTTAAGAGGGTAGCTGGGCCATCCCTTTTCCTCCACAGGACTCAGTAGTCCGTGTGAATGTCTCATGTCTCATCCATGACGCTGTAGACATGACACTGCAAGCCAGTGTCTGCGTAATATCTGAAAGAACCCAAAATGCTAATTTGAAAGAACATAACCACCCCTATGCTCATTGTAGTATTATTTACAATTGCCAAGATACGGAAGCAGTCTGTGTCCATCAGTAGATGAGTGGATAAAACAACTTGGGATATTTATATGATGGAATACTACTTGGTCGTAAAAAAGAAGAAATTTTACCCTTTGTGACAGTATAGATGGACCTGGAGAACATTATGCTAAGTGAAATAAGTCACTGAGAGAAAGGCGAATATCATATGATTTCACTCATATGTGGAATCTAATGAACAAACTGAATTAATAAGCAAAATAGAGACAGACTCATAGATGGAGAGGAGGATGACGGCTAAGGGGGACAATGGAGGGATTGAGCAAAAAAGGAAAAAGGATTTATGGACATGGAAAATAGCGTGGTGATTGCAGGGGAGGTATAAAGGAGATATAAAGGGGAGGTATAAATGGTAATAGAAAAATACAATTAAAAAGAGAAAAAAAAACACAGTGAGCTACAACTTCACACTTATTTAACACCTTATTTAAAAAAAGAGAGAGAGAGACAATACCATGAGCTGGCAAGGATGGGGAGCAATGAAGCTCTCATGCATGGCTGGTGGGAATGCAAAATGATAGAGCGGCTTTGAAAAACAGCTTGGTAGTTTCTTACAAAATTAAGGATACTATGTGATTGATCCATCTTACTTCCAGGTATTTACGAAGATGAAAGCTATGTTCACTCACAAACTTGAACATGAATCATTATACCAGCTTATTAGTAATCATCAAAAACTTTAAATAATTCCAATATCCCTCAAATGAGAAATGGATTGACAACCTGTGGCATATCCATATAGTGAAAGACTACCCAGAAACAGAAATGAACAGAAATGAACTAGGGTACACATAACAACCTGGGTGATTCTCTAATCTAATCTAATATCCTAAGTGAAAGAAACTAGGTTCCAAAGGCTATGAACTGTGTGACTACCTTTACACAGTATTCTTGCAAGGACAAAAGTGTAGGCAGAGAACATAAATCAGTTGTTGCTGGGGTCTCAGAGATAGTAGGAGGTTTGACTTCAAGTGAGTATGGGAAATTTTTTTAGTATGATGCAATTTTTCTGTATCTTGACTGTGGTTGTGTTACAACATACTTAAACATTGTCAAAATAGGTAGACCTGTACAATAAAATAGATAAAATTTACTGTATTTATACTATAACTTAATAAAAATAGAATTAAAAATACCCCTCCAAGAAAACCATATTGCTCAAAGGCAAGATGAAAAACTATATTAGCAAATGTAGCTCATTACATTCTGTTGGGAACCTCTCTGCCTGATATCAGAAGCTGTAACCCCCACCAAGGCTAAGGCTGAGGGAATGACCTTGGACTGTAAGCC